AAACTGGGACCCAGAAATGTGGAGCATCTTACCCTAAATTGCACAAAACTGCACTGTGCTTGCTTGGTGCACAGCCTGATGGTATTTATAGAAATGTATGTTGGGACATAAATTGCATTGAGCCAATTCTTTGTCATGTTCTTTAGTTTACAGTATGATGTATATTCCAGAGAAGGCACAGCCTTGATTTAGGAGTTTCAGAGAAAACACAGTGACCAGGCATCATTTATCAGCTATGCAGGGCTCTTGGGCAGGCGTCTAGGGGCGAGTGGGTGTGGGAGTAACTTAAAGAGTTCATTGTACACCGCCCTGCCATTTAGTTTCCTTGTTTGGATGAGTCTGGTTTCTTAGAAAAGGGAACCACTGTGACACCAGTGTCCCCGCTACTTACCCCCAGTTCTGTGACCTTGCACTAGAAACCTTTATTAACCTTTGTGTATCAGGTTCCTTCTCTGGGATTGTGATTCTAAGCAGATCCCCCAGAGGGCAGGAATTGATTAAAAATTAAAAATTGCTTTTGGGAATCAGAATCTGTCTTAGGCTAGGGCAGTGATGGCGAACCTTTTGAGCTCGGCGTGTCAGCATTTTGAAAAACCCTAACTTAACTCTGGTGCCGTGTCACATATGGAAATTTTTTGATATTTGCAACCATAGTAAAACAAAGACTATATTTTTGATATTTATTTTATATATTTAAATGCCATTTAACAAAGAAAAATCAACCAAAAAAATGAGTTCGCCTGTCACCTCTGACACGCATGTCATAGGTTCGCCATTACTGGGCTAGGGTATAGTTTTATAAAAAGTAGTGTGGTAGCTTATTCTTCCTGAAGTTTTGTCCCTCCCAGTGAAATTTTGATATCTTCTAATTAAAAATAGGTATAGTAGTATTGTTATTTTAGAAAGGCACTTAAAAATGTAGGGTGTAGATTCTTCCTCTTATACTCAGGCAGAGGAAGCTGTTGAATTGAAGCCTAAAAGGCAGGTACCATTCTCAAAGGCAGCAGGTACCAAAGCGATAAACCTACTTTATGACATAATATTTTACCTTTAGCAAATAACTTTGCTTTCAAAAATTTATCTGTAAACCTCCTTATCATTTAACTTAAAAATATGATGCTCAGCCAAACCGGTTTGGCTCAGTGGATAGAGCGTCGGCCTGTGGACTGAAAGGTCCCAGGTTCGATTCCGGTCGGGGGCATGTGCCTTGGTTGCGGGCACATCCCCAGTGGGAGGTGTGCGGGAGGCAGCTGGTCGATGTTTCTCTCTCATCGATGTTTCTAACTCTCTATCCCTCTCCCTTCCTCTCTGTAAAAAAATCAATAAAATATATGTAAAAAAAATATGATGCTCAATAAGTTGGGTAGGGGCAGCATGGTGTAGCATTGGAAGGTTGCGGAAACATGTCATAGGAATAATTTATTTTTTATTTTGTTTATTTTAAACATATTTTTTATTGATTTTAGAGAGAGAAACATCGATGTTAGAGAGAAACATCAATTGGATGCTTCCTGCATACCCCATGATCAAACCTGCAACCCAGGTTTGATCATGGGGGTATGTGCCCTGCCTGGGAATCGAACCAGCATCCTTCTGGTGCACAGGATGATGATCAACCAACTGAGCCACACTGGCCAGGGCAGGAGTAACTTATTTTTAAGGCTTTTGTTAATTCAACAAGTCTTTTAATTACCTGTGCCCATTCCTGTATGGAAAATTACATGTCCTAGTCAAATTGGGATCTTTCTTGACCTCCTTCTCCCATTTTTGTAGGTAAAATATTTTATAAAGAATGTTTATTGATTTTTAAATAGAGAGGAAGGGAGAGGGGGGAGAGAGAGAGTAAAGGTGTGTGGGTGTGTGAGAGAAACATCGATGTGAGAAAAACATTTATCCGCTTACCCAGGATCGAGTCTGCAACCTGGGCATGTGCCCTCACCCAGAATTGAACTGGCAATCCCTTCATGCCCAGGACAATGCCCAACCAACTGAGCCACACCAGCCAGAGCCGTTAAAGAATTTTTTGTTGATACTAAGTGAATATTCAGAATCTAAAGACATATGGGCTGCTTTCTAATAATCACATTTAATTTTATATTTCATCTTGGATGAAAGGAGCTATAAAGTGACTTGAATGTGTAGAACCAGAAAAAGTCTTTTAAAAGTATATGAAACCCATTGTCTTGAGTAAAAGAAACTCCTGAAATTAAAAATAATGTCTATTTAAAATGTTCAGTGTACAAGGCCAAAAAGTTATTTTATAATACACTGGTAATTTATCTTTTACATAGCTAGATAATTTATCTTATCAACTTTATCTTAAAAAGTAACCTTACCTTATTATGACCTACACTTATATTATTCTTCATGTATTTGATTAACATTTTAATGTTATGTGTTTAAGAGCAACTTATTACTCTTGAAATTCCAGAGCCTCAAAATTTCAGCATGACCAAATACTAATTTCATTTAGGTTGAGAGTTAATTAATTATAGATATATTCTATATAGGCCATGATTTATACTTTTCAGGAAAGTGAAGATCTGGAATTACTACATGATATCTATTTATCTAACAAATCATAGAGAGGAGCAGCCTTCTCTGAATTCAGCACACTGTTTTCACCAGCTCAAACATGTTCCCTCTCTTGTTATCCTATGTATTGAATATATTGGTTGCAGTAATCAAAATGATGCTTGGATGCTTATAGAAAAGCCCCAAACACTCATGTGGCTTAAACAAGACAGAAGTTTGTCTTTCTCACAATAAAAGAAGTCCAGGGCAGCAGTCCAGTAGTTGCTCGTTATCGTGTGGGATCCATGTTCCTACCACTTTGCTCTACCATCCTCTGTCTGACATACTCAGAGGCATCTTCTGGTCTGAGACGGCAACTGGAAGTCCACGTTACAGGCTAGGAGAAGGGGGAAAGCAGAAGGGCAAAAAGGGGGCCCCTCATAATTGAGTCAGCTCCCTTTAAGCAGCTTTCCCAGACTTTCTACACAGGAGTTCTACTTCCATCTCATTGGTCAGAACTTAGCCACTTGGCCACACCTAGCTATGATGGAGATAGGGAATGCACTTTTAAATTCTTGGCAGGAATAGGCACAGCTGAAAATCAGGATGTTGTTACTAAGGAGTGAGGAGAGAATCGATGTTGGGGTAGGCAATACCACATGGTTTTGTGTTCCTATTACATGCTGGGTCTTGGGGCTACTATGTAGAGACTTAAAACACCTCTTTCTGTTTTTGCTACGAGCTATGGTTTCTTAATTTAGAAATCTGGCTTAATTTAGAAATCCTGTTTCTTCTGTGAAGTATCATTTCTTTATTTGGCAATCTTGTCTGACTCTTGCTTTCTTCTTTCCTCTTGCCTTTCAGCTGTTTTGGAAAGAAGTAAGGCTTAGACTTCTCCATGTTAACCATGAGTGTGACACTTTCCCCCCTGAGGTCACAGGACCTGGATCCCATGGCTTCTGACGCTTCACCCATGGCCATCAACTTGACACCCACCGTGGAGCAGGGCGAGGGAGAAGAGGCGGTAAAGGATATGGATTCTGACCAGCAGTATGAAAAGCCACCCCCATTGCATACAGGGGCCGACTGGAAGATTGTCCTTCACTTACCTGAAATTGAGACCTGGCTCCGGATGACCTCCGAGAGAGTCCGGGACCTAACCCACTCAGTCCAGCAGGATTCAGACAGCAAGCATGTGGATGTGCATCTAGTTCAACTAAAGGTAAGGAAGGTTTCTGGGCTCAGGTCCATTCCAGACGGAAGACTGAAAAGGCTGTGGCACATAGAGCCCGAGTTCTGTCATTCTCAGTGAGAAAAGTCTCAGAAGGAAACTAGAATAACCGGTGTGAAAACATTATCTTTGTAGATGAACATGGACAGAATTCTCTCCTGATTTGACTTCATGGGCTGAGTGTCTAGAATAAAACTGACCGTAGGGGATAATGCAGAAAAGTGGGGAGAATAAAGTATTACACAAGTTTTAATAAATAGACTCTCATAGGTAAAACCTCAAACTGAGCTGTGGCTGTGAGTATGTATGTGTCTGTGATTATCTCCTGTTGGAGGGATGCTACCGCTATGGCGCACAGTGGGTCCTGGCGCCATAGGGAAGGGCATTGCTCTCTTTTTGGAATGAGTCATTTCATCCAGGCACAGTTCATCGTGCAGGGCAAAAGTTCCTTTTTAACAACTAATCTAAAGCTCAGACATTGAAAAATGTCTGGGGCTTTTAGAGGCCTTAACAAGCCTGACTGTTGATAATAATGAAATGCAGGTGCGAGTAAAGAGTGCTATAATAGAGATTTTGACCTAGAGACCCCACAGTACAGTGACTCTTGCCCTGCCGTAGCCATTCCTCTATTCCAGGTCCCTGAGAAAAATGCATGTTCAGGTCAATGACTAGCAAAGCAAGGCAGGTTTATAACTAATCAGGGCAATGGACCCAAACCCCAATGTACATTTCTAGTCACTTACATGAGATCTTAAGGAGAATTCTTTTACCTAAGACAGTTAATCCTAAATAATTTTGAAATCAAAGACCAGCTGGCCAGCATGGCTCAGTGGTTGAGCCTTGACCTATGAACGAGGAGGCCACAGTTCAGTTCCCAGTCAGGGCACATGCCTGGGTTGTGGGCTCGATCCCCAGTGTGGGGCATGCAGGAGGCAGCGGATCAGAGATTCTCTCTCATCATTGATGTTTCTCTCTCTCTTTCCCTCTCCTGTCCTCTCTGAAATCAATAAAAATGTATTTAAAAGAGAAAACCAAAGACCAAACAGATTCTTGACTCTTAACACTCAAATGTCTTATGCAGCCATCAGGGTGAGAGGAAAGAGGCGCAGTTAAGAGAAAGCAAGCAGAGCTGGCTCCGCTTTCTCAGGCTGGTTCAGGGGATTCGGGACCCCGCTGCCACAGGGAAGAGTGTCCAAGAGAGGAAAGGAGGGGTTGAGGAGAAAGTGAAAACAAAAAAGCCAGAATGCCAAGCTGACTGGGCTCTCACCGGTTCTTGAAAAAGAGACAGCACTAAAGGGTAACAGAAATGGCTAGGAACCAGCTTCAGTGGAATGCAGGCCTGGCTGGTTTCCTGCTCTGGCAGCAGGGAAGAATGTGTCTCAGCCCAGGAACACAGCTCCTTTAGTTAAAGGGGCAGCTCTGCGGCAACGTGGGGTGGAGTGAAATGGAGGTCAGGGGCTGCACTTCACCCCTCTCCTCTGTTTCCTCTAATGCTACCCTTCCATGTAGCTCCTATAAGTAAATACAGGGTTGGGTTTTTAAGAAAAGTTGACTGTTGCTCTCCAAAATCTTTCAGATTTACACAGAAAAAGTGGTAAATGATAAAGGAGAATGGGGAGAAAATGGAAATCTCTTTAAAAGACTCCACTAAAAATGCTGTTAAGGGCTCCTAGAAACATTAATGTGTCGATTTACTTCATTTAATTACTTCAATAACACTGAAGTGAAAATGAAAACTTTTATTCCAAGTAGGAATGTAAAGTCTTTGTAAAATCAACCAAGGTTATGTTCAGTGTTTGAGCAATCACCTCTAAGGTGATTTGCTTATCTTTTCACATTGGAATTACCTATCATCTTCCTGCCTCAGTAGAAAGCATCTTACACCTGCCTCTATCCAGCTCTGTCCCACAGTATGTCTGTCTCCTCTGCTGAGAAAAAAACCCCAGCAATGTAGGAAGTCAAGACAACAATCACATAGTGGTAGTTAATCAATGACTTAAAGGGATGAATTGAAATCATTTAATGTTAATTTAATTCTAGAGTTTCTATTAATACTTTTTTGATGTTTATTTCATCAAGTGATTTTTACAACCATCATTCTCTTATAGTGTTCTCAAATATTCTGTAATAATAGAGTACAAAGTCATCAACTCTGGTCACTGAGTTGTGGCCACCTCTAATCTAGGGTTTAGTTTTGGCCTCCTAATCTGCTTAAAGTTTCCCCTTTATTTGTGTGATATTTCCTTATTCAACCAAATAAGCACTGCAATTCATTTTTTAAAAAACGTATTTTTATTGATTTCAGAGAGGAAGGGAGAGGGAGAGACAGAGAGAAACATGGATGAGAAAGAAAAATGATTGATCAGCTGCCTCATGCATGCCCCCTACTGGGGATTGAGCAGCAACCTGGGCATGTGCCCTGAAGGGGAATCAAATTGTGACCTCCTGGTTCATAGGCAAAGCAGAGGGGCAGGCCCAACTTGGCTCCCTCTGCCTTCGTGAATTACTCAATTTACTAATCCTATATAATAATCCCATATAATAAAGAGGTAATATGCAAATTGACCATCACGCCCTTGCACAAGATGGCCACCCCCATGTGGTCACAAGATGGCCGCCACAAGATGGCCAGCAAGGGAGGGCAGTTGGGGATGACCAGGCCAGCAGGGGAGGGCAGTTGGGGATGACCAGGCCAGCAGGGGAGGGCAGTTGGGGATGACCAGGCCAGCAGGGGAGGGCAGTTGGGGGTGACCAGGCCGGCAGCGGAGGGCAGTTAGGGGAGACCAGGCCTGCAGGGGAGGGCAGTTGGGGGCAACCAGGCCAGCAGTGGAGGGCAGTTGGGGGAGATCGGGCCAGCAGGGGAGGGCAGTTGGGGGCAATCGGGCTGGCAGGAGAGCAGTTAGGCATCGATCAGGCTGGCAGGGGAGTGGTTAGGGGTGATCAGGCTGGCAGGCAGAAGCAGTTAGGGGCAATCAGGCAGACAGGCGAGTGGTTGGGAGCCAGCAGTCCTGGATTGTGAGAGGGATGTCCAACTGCCGGTTTAGGCCTGATCCCTGTGGGCAGTCAGACATCCCCCGAAGGGTCCCAGTTGGAGAGGGTGCAGGCCAGGCTGAGGGACAGCCCCCTCCCAGTGCACGAATTTTGTGCACCGGGCCTTTGGTTTACAATAAAAAACAACTGTCACAGGGATGGAAATATCATGACTTTAAGGGTCCATTTAGGTGCAGATAATTTCTGAATGTGTAGATTCACTCCAGTATTTTCCCATGAGCCCCACCCAACTGCCTAATTGATATTTCTGCTTATGTCTCTAGTGAGCATCTCAAACCTGATATGCCCATCAACAAGCTCTTAATCTCCCCTCCCCATGCCCCGCCCAGTCTTCCCAATTTCAGTAAAAGTTACCACTCTTTGCAAGATCCTCCCCCCTCCCCCACTATGTATATGTTTATGTCTATTAACAATTTCTGGGTATCCATCTCCAAAACGTGCCCTGAAGCCATTCCTTCTCCCCAGCACTACTGCTGCTGCCCCTGCCTTCTCTTCTGAGAACCCCCCCACCCCCCCAGAAAGGTCACTGCTGCTTGGGCTTCTTCTGGAGCCCCTCTGCCACCCTGCAGTTCATTCTCCACACAGTAGCCAACGGATCTATTAAAGATGTAAATCAGGTCATGTTAGGCCCTTGCTTCCTATTAGCTTACAATAAAACAAAAATCTCATTCTGTGGCTCTGCCTCTGCCAGCTTCTCTGGCCATGTTTCCTGTTACTTTCCCATTATTCATAAAGCTCCAGGCATATTGGAAATTCCAAAGAAATGTTAGGCTTCTTCTTGCCTCATAGCTTTTCCTGTTCCCTCTGCCTAGACACTCTCTTCCTCTGTCTTTGCCTGGCAGATTCTGGATCCTCATCAAACAGTCAGCCAGAGGTGCAGACAAGTTCTAACATGTAGAGACACAAGCCTTGGAGAAGTTTAGGAGGAAGGCGGGGCCTTTGCTGTGTTTGGTGAAGAGCAAGAACAAAAAAAACCTACCCCTACCTAACTTGTCTACATTCCTCACACGCCCTTTCACATTGCTTGCTCTAAATCATTATAGTCTTCTCTACCATTGTGTTGATGTATAACGTAAAAAAAATTACTTGAAAAATGCTGTTAAAAAAACCCCAAAGTTCAACTGAGTAAATTTAAAGATCTATTTGCCTTTATTCAATAATTCATGAATCAAGCAGCATCCCATCTAGCAGAAAGAACGGAAGGCTTTTATAGGCAGAAAGGGAGGAGGGACAGGGAAAGAGTGGCTTGTTTCAGGGAAGGGCATCTCATTTTAGGGGGTAAAAGGGGTCTAACCAGGTGGATTACCTCACTAGTGCTGATCAGGAAATTCCAGACTGACTGACTAAGATTACATTCCTGAGAAGCTACAACTGCAGTTAGGTTAAGTCTCAGTTTGGTGACATGGGACTTAGCACAAATGACTCCATTTGGGCCAGTTGTATCTTTTTTATGGAACAATGCTTTT